TTGTTTTTAAGAGTTGTCTGGATCTCATGTTCCCGGAGGCTGACAGAGCCCCCAGAGGACACAAGAGTCCTGCTTGGCCACAGCTTTTTAGCTTTGAGAGCTCTGCGTTGATGGGCTGTGTCATCTCCTCTGGGTCATCTCAACATCATCTGAACAGAAACATGTTGCTTATACCAAACCTATGTTTTCCAACTTCCACACAATTTAATGCTTACTTAGACCAGATCACCTTTGTACTTTGGACTAGTTCATAAAGTCCTGAGAAAATATTTTAACTTATCAACTTCTATTAGGATGTCAAGGGAGAAGGAATAATATGTAGAAAAGGAGTAAATGAAGAAAGGATAAAAACTGGAAAAGGGTTTGGTACTCAGAGGAAATTGGAACTCTTACCCACAACAACTACCTGGCTTCTTTCTCTTAGCTCCTCATAAATGGGGCAAAGAAAAGAGCGTAGATTTGGGTGGATTAAGTATTGCAGTTTCCTGGTCTATGTTACCAAAGTACAACCCCTTCCTCTTCCATGAATGGCCCTTTTCTTTCCTGACTCCTATCACATGCACCCCCAGCCTCATACATCACATTCCAACAAGAAGTTTGCATTTTTCTGGGGATGGGAGACAAGGAATAAAGCAAAAAGTCAAAGTAAGCCCACAGCTAAGTTTTTCATTCTCCTGAAAACCAAAACAGACTAGACACCGCATATGTACCCTCCTGCCTTTATCTTACCAGAAGCAAGGGGGCCAGCATGATCAAATCCATGCTTTTAAATGAAGTGAAAAAGGCATTCAACAGCATTTGTGACGTATTCCCTTCAATTCCAGGCTGACCTCCTGGAGGCACCTGACAGGATGCATGCCTGTTACCTGGCACTTGAGGCTTCACCCGGTTTTAGTACCAATCTCACCTAACTGCAATGATCAGGGAGACTCTATCAATGTTCCTCCACCACATTTTAAAAAGTTAAATATTTCTCACCAAATCAAACCACTAGTGAGTGATCTTCTGTGAAGGATAGTTTGTCCTCCCCCGGGTCACATTCACAATCAGGAGCTTAGGTTTACAATTGGTCCTTCTTCGGAGGAGCTTGGAGCATCCCAGCCTGTGAGGCCATGAGAGGGAGGACCATCCCTCAACCCCTGCTGTGATGAAGAGAAGTAAGTGACAGAAATGGAGCCCAGCCAGGGGCACCAATGTCTACAACCCCTTCACTTGACCTCACCTCTTAAGCATTAAAATGTTCCTCTAAACTTCTGGGTGTTTTGTGGGTTAGTTTCAGCCAAACTAGCCACTCTTCTACTGCCTTTCCCAGGAATTCTTTGAAGATGACTGAGTCAGAGAGACAAAATAGAACTGTGGCTTCCAGACTTTCAATGCAATAACTACCCATGCAAGTGAAAACCTTGGCTAACTTATTTAACTTTACTTTTTCCCCATCACCATTTATACCCCTACACCCTTTCCCACCTCCCCCGTGCAATCATCACACTGTTGTCATGTCCATGAGTTCTCTCTCTTTTTCTTTACAAACTTATATTTCAACTAACAAAATTGCACATAAATAAGCATTGAAATATGTACTTAAGGAACACTCTGTCTGATTGTTCACCCAGAGGAAATCGGAGCTTGGGAGTTCACAGTGCTTTTACCAAGTCAGAGCCCGGAGGGGAGGGTTCCCAGGCCCGCTTTCCTGCTGGTGAGCCCAGGCTGGGGTCTGTGGGAAGGCCAATCCAGATTTCAAGAAAACCACACTTTGTGACCTCTCAGAAATGCAGACAAAGGTGGCTTTGGGGAACAAAGGTGGCTTTACTATTGCATTTTATTTCTGTGTTCTTGTTAACATCATGATGATTCATGCTAAACATTTATTTGAAAAACAACAGCCTGTGAACTATTGAAACATACACTCTAGTGTGGTCAGGTAAGGGGAACTGTAAGAAGTGAACATGCACAGTTGTTAAAAAGTTTTTCCCTCGGGTTCATTTATTTCCCCTGTCATGTGGTCTGTTTTCTTTAGAGGAACAAGAAGTCAAGCCAGGTCCCTTGGGAAAATGTGTGGTTGGAAAGATGTGTACAAAATAGAGAAAAGGGACTCCCCCTACTCCACCCAGTAGGAGGGCTTTGTTTATTTACAGGCTCAGGGAGTTACCCAAAATGCCTCACGGATAGGCACCTGATCTATAGAAAGAAGAAGGTTGACAACAATTTGTGGTTGTTTGCCATTTATTGTTCTGCATGTACAGCTCATGAGCACCAGGTGGCGATGTCCTCTCACAGAGCAACACCAACAACTTCAAAACACAGCAGTTACAAAGATTTACATTAGGACAGTCACCTGCCCTCTCCCAGAAACCCACCCCCACTCAATGCCAGTGACCACAGACAAAGAAAGGGTACAGGACCCTTTCTTGTACCACATGGGGCCTTCCCCCAGTCTTCTCATGCACACAACAGTGCAATACCAGGACGAGTACTTTTGACCAAGTCTGAAATCACAGAGGAAAGGGATGAAAACATAAAGGCACACACAACCACATATGCACAATTAATCTTTATGGGATGAGCATCTGACAGGGTTTGTCATCCCTGGAGACTCAGGGAGGGAGGAACTGGGCTGCTGGTGCTAAGACGATGAAAGGAAAGGCATGGAAGTCCCTGCGTGGGCCAGGGAGTTCAGCAGGCCTTCCGGTGGGGACACACCTGTTCAAAGTGCTGGATGCCCAGGGCCTCTGCTGGCAGGGTCCTCACTGAAGCCGAGACTGTACCTTTTCAAGCCAGCTCCAGAGAAAGGGCAAAGGAATGCTTCCCACCTTGCCTGGCACAGTGTTAGAAAGGAAATGCAAGATTCCCTCTGCCCAGAATGTCCCACAAGAAGATGAGGATGAGGTAGCCCTGAATGAGCATCCTCAGAGAGGACGAGAAATGGGGAACAGATAATTAACACCCCAGGGGAAAGGCTTGAAGGTCTGAAGACTTACTCTCAAAGTGGCATTTCCCCTGGCATACATCCTGCGTTGTATGCTCTCTGGGTCCCCTTTCCCACCCACACTTTCTTTTGCTTGATGCAGAAAATCAGTTTCTCCCCATTGCCCATTGCCAGTTGTCAAAGCATGTCTTCTTTCTTCCCCTTCTCCTACTACACAACTGGGCTTCTATCCACTGACCCTCCGTCTGATTCCTCATCACTGTGGGTGACAAGGGTGGAGGCGGAGATGGCAGTGGCCCATTGTAAAGCTCTCTAATGACCTCTCCTATATGGGAGCCTGGTGAGGGCATGGGGGGTGACATTCAACACTGCAGGGGTGTCTCTTGAGTTTGGGTGTTTCCTTCCCAACAGCGGCAGGAAATGACTCTGTGGTGCAGTGAACTCAGGACCAACCCAGTTTGCTGGTGAGATAAATGACTGCTGACTTATGAGAGAGACCAGAACCAAGATGGCAGACACGATTCTCCCCATCAGAACTCCCCCTGCTACAGCCTATGACTGTCCAGACAGCCAGTGGGAAAATGAGGAAAGGCTCAGCACCAGTGTCCCCGGGGAACTGGGTGATACTTAGGTAAATCCACTGGTCACAGCTGCAGGCCTAACAGCAGCAGCTCTGAAAAGCTTGATTTCTGGTTCTAATTTAAGTACCATTTTTTTGAAGGTTCTTTTGTTTCAAATTTTCTAGCATCAAAAACCTCCCAAATATTATGAAATATATATACATATATATACGTCAAACCCCCAAAACATGAGGTATATAAATTCAAATTAGTATCCAGAGGAACTTCCCCCAAACATATAGTTCAAAGAACCCACTTTCAAAGGGGAAATTGGGTTTCCCTGCTTGATCCCCCTTCTCTCCTCACTGACCCCCAATTCATTTAATAATGGGAGCAAGCCAAAGGCAAGAGGAATATTGGGGAAGAGATAGATAGGGTCTTGGGACACAACCCATACACAGGTTGGACTAGACCATAAGACGGTGCTAAGCCTGTTACGAATGAGCTAAAAAGGCTCTCTCCATGTTCTAGGTCAATCTGCAATGGATGAGGGAAATGGGGGGCCCAGCACCACCCCTGGGCTCTAATGAACAAATTTGCATGGATACAGATTGAAGCCCTCAGAGAAACAAGGCTGGATGGATATTGGCTCAGATCCAATCTTGAAAGAGATTGAAAAAGGGATCAGTCCAGCCCCCACCTCGCACACCTCCCCAAACACAGTTCTGACTCGATCAGAACACAAGTTTACTATGTGATGGGTTGGCAAAGGGTGAGAGAAGTTGAGGGGTCACGGCTGGGCTGTCTGATCCCCATCATAATTGGGGTTTGACATCTTGCAAAACAGACCGTGAGAACATGATGGGACTCTCCACCAACCTGGCCCAGTGGTATACATGTGCATGTACACACACACACACACACACACACACACACACACGAGCGCGCGCACACATACACAGATGGCACAGAGCCCAGCACAGGCTCTACTCACAGTGACTTGATGAAACTCATGGAATCTTTGAGCTGATCTCGGATGAGTTTGGAAGAAGACTATGGACTCCTCTCCCTGAGGACAGTGCAGATGCTAAATGGGATGCAGGCTCTGGTCTGATCAATGAATGGCTGGAAACACCTTGGGATGCCACCCAGAGAGGACTCCCAGAGCCCATCCATCTGCATGAGAGAAGCAGATGCCTCTTTGGACCGGTCAATGGTGTGAGGAGGAAGGAGGGCCCAGAGAAGCCAAGGACTCTTATGAGAACTGAGTGTGCTCTCAGAGGCCTTTGCCTCCTGACCCTCTTGGCAAGAAGCGCTTCCTCACTCTACGCCGAGGCATTGATTTCTGATGTCACAGCATTTTAGCGGTTCACCTCTTTGCCCCCCAAACTTGCACAGTGAGAGCTCCTCGTCTCCAGCAGAGGAGAGAAAAGCGGAAACTCCACTTTTGGAAGTGGAAGCAGCAAGAAGCCAGCTGAGGCCATGACCCTCAGGCTTCACGACCCTCAGGCTTCACGAGGCCAGGATATGGAGTGCCCATGCACTGTCCACACATGCCCCCACTTAGGGGGTGAGGGATGGTTTTCTTGACTACCCAGCACCGAAAACCCCATGGGAACAGACTGGGGATGGCCCTCATCTCATGTCCCTTTTGTAATGGATGAGGTTTATGAATAACATTCCCTTACTCAATCTGGCTCCCCCCTGTGGCTGGGAGGGATGGGGAATGGAGACAGGACAGGAGGGGAGATGAGGGAGTCGGGAGAGCACTGCACCAACTTCTACCTTGACTCTCCCCACTTCCTACCCTGTGGTCCCCACAGCCCCTCTCCCCCAAAGCCCTTCCTGTTCAGTCCTTCTCCTGGGCAGTGCTGTCCTCAGAAATACCCTGGGCAGCCAGTTCAGCCAGCACATTATCCAGGTAATTGGCATCTGGGTAGCCATGGCCAGTGAGATTCGAGCCAAACTCTGTCTTGTGGTGAACCTCATTCCATATGACGGTGTCTGACTCGCCCGTCGTGCTGGAAGTACCAATGGCAAAAATGAGGCGGCGATCCCAGGCCACCAGCAGCAACTTCAGAACCTACAAGAGAAAAGACAGGAGATCAAAGTCAGACATTTAGTGTTGACCAAAGGCTATCATTTGGATGGTAGAGAGTCCTGCAAAGGGCCCCACCCCTTCCTGCATAGTAATGCCCTAAGTGAAAAGAAGATTTGGATGTGGACTCAGGGACATGCAGGGAAGTCTTGGCTCTGTCACTGCCTAATTGTGTGACCTTGGACAAGTTAGATCACCTCTCTGAGATTTAATTTCCTTATTTATAGAATGGCAATGGTATGACCTACCTCTAAGGGCTGTGAGTAGTTTAGCAGTTGCTATGTGAAAAGTAGCTTAATAGCAGTGTCTGGAACACACTATTCAACAAATATTAGCTACCAATATCACAGCTGCATTTTGAAAGTTAGGACCTAGGAGTTCAAGGAACTTCTTTTTTTTAAAGAAGTTCATA